TTTTTTTGTCACCATGCTTTTTATTATTTGGTCGTCGTCGTCGTGTTTTTTTTCTTTGCCATTCATGAATCAAATCAAGAATCAAAGAAAAACATTAACAAGAAAACAAAAAAATAACATTAATGAATTCATGATCTGCACACGTACCAGATTCTTGTGTGTGTGTGTGTGTGTGTGTGTGTCATACGATGGAAAGGAGAAAAAAAACAGAATCGATTCTTGAATAATAACAATAACAAAGAAAAACAACACCAATCAACTAAGATAATTTGGTCTTTTTTTTCTTTCAGCTTCAGAATAATCATCAGATTAGAATTTCATTGTTTTGATTGTTGTTTGTGTGAAGAAAAATAGGTGTATTTTTTTCCATGTTTCATTGAATACAATTGATCATTGTTTCAATGATGAAATGAAAAAAAAACAAGACGACAAAATTCCTTCTGTTTTTTTTTCTCTCTCTCTCAAAATGATTGTCTGTCTTGTATAACCGATGTCTTATCTTGTAAGTCCATATCCATATACAGTTTTAATCTTTTTATATATTTTTTTTGGCTGTCATTCTTTTCATTTTGTATCCAATCCCACACACACACAAGTCTTGTGATACTCTCATATACACAGAATTTTTATTCTCTATTTGTTTTCTTTTTTTTTAACTGGCCATAAGATTCTTGTTTTTTTTTTGTTTTCATTTTGACGTCATGAATGGTTGACATTTTATATATAATAAATAAATAGTAATAATAATGATTTTCATTTAAGTTTGCATCAGTTTTTGTTTTTTGTTTTGGTGCATGTGTCTGCGTATGATGGTGATATGAATTTTAGTTTGGATTTTATAATAACAAAGATGATGATGATGATTATGAAATAGCAGAATAAAAGAAAAAAAAGAAACAAAAAGGCAAAAGAATTTGTTCAATGAATGAAATGAAAAAAAAAAATTGTTCATTGTTCATGAATTTAGAATGGTGAATAAAAGACAATAAAAATGTTTGAACAACAAGAGAAAAGCTAAGAAAAAAAAAATGATATCAAATTCTCAAATGGAACAACAAATGTTATGTTATTAAAAATTTAAGTTTATATATATAAAGCACACAAACAAACACTCCATGAAAGATATACGACTTTTTTCGATCTCGTTACAACCGAAAATGGATCACCAAAATGAATGTGTGTGTGTGTGTGTGTGTTTGTCACACCAAAATGAAGGAAAAAACCGGTGATAATTTTTTTTTTATTGTATGAATTATGATTTATCTCAAATTGATGATCCATTAAAATTGATTTTAAAATTTTAATATGGTATTCACCAATTCTGGTGAATTGGTTCAATTAGCATAGACACTCGCCGAATTAACTTTATGAACAAAGTGACCCTACCGTATATCTCCGGTAGATATATGATCAAACTGAAGGTTTTACTTGAGAAAGAATTGATCAGACCATCTACTCTGAATTATTCATTCGTTTTCAATAAAGGCATTCGATATACGAAACACGTTTTGTGTTGATTTTGTAGTTGAATGATATAACAATAACTGAATGTTATCCAATGCCATTAATACAAGACATAGAGGATAGAATGTTAAATTCTCAGTCTTTCTACCTTGATATTGCTTCCGTTTTCATCACATTCCAATAGTACAGAAACAGCATATATCTGAGCCGTGTGTGGTAGACCATGGTGTTAAAAATATGCACAAATACTTTTTAAAGAATATGTATAATAATTCCGAAACATAATAAGTTGATCTTTGCCTTATAATTACATAGATGATATAATTGTGTTTTCCAGAGATTTCACGAGCACGTTGAACATCTGGGAAAGTTATTTTGGCATTGAAAACAATAATATCATTTTGAAGCTTTCAAATGTAAATTTGGTTTTACTCAGAAGTTTGTTATTTTAGGACATCACAATACATCCCTCTTAAAAGTAATAAATGCTAATTGTCGATTTTCCTCCAATCTAAAGATCTTAAATCCTTGGAAGGTTTCTTGGTAAAATTGTTTTATCAACGATTCAGGAATTTTGTTTGTATTGCACATCTTTGATCCATCAAAAGCTGTAATTCTTATGATGCTTCTAATGTTGGTATTGAGCTGTCCTTAAACAAAAGATTGAATTAGATGATGATCAAGATATGTTTACTGGGATGGAAATTACTACCTTACCAAGCACTATCTCTGCCATTACAGAAAAGAATGTTTATTGTGTGTGTGTGTATATGTGTGTGTTTTGAATCAGAAAATTTACAGCTAAAAATAATAAAATTGACTTCTTAGCGCTGGAAATGGAAAAAAAACAAAGGTGATTAAGGTCAACATGGAAGCAAGAAAAATAAAAACAACAACAGAATTAAATTATTGAGATAAGAAGAATAAGAAGAATGATAATAGTTACCACACACATTTATATATTTTTCGCTTGTTGTTTTTTTTGTTTTGTTTGTTTATTTGTTGCCACATTAATTTTCAATGGTGATAATGATGATTTCTGATATGGTCATTTATTCTGTTCACATCGTTAAAAAGGAAAAGCGAATGTGTCTGTGTCTGTTTCTGTGTGTATATGTGAGAGAAAGAAAGAGATTTAAAGATAAAAGATGAAAATGAGAATGAGAGAGAAAAGAAAAAAACTTTTCATTTGTGATGGTCATTTAAAACGATCCATTGAGTACGATTATGTCTATTATTTTTAACTTTTTTTTCCCATTGACCATTTTTATATATGATGATGATGATGATGATATCGTGTATCGTATCATTCAATATCAATTTAAGAAATAAAATAAAAAAATAACAAAAACAACGAAATAAACAAAAGGTGACCGTTAAAAAAAAGCCATCATTATTATTGCCATTGACCAGAAATTAGATCACAAACACACGCACACACACACACAGCAGACCATTAAAACGTCCACATAGTTATATTTTTTTAAAACTTAAACTTACTTAAACAAACTACTACTGCAAAAGATTTTAAAACAATGATAATTGATGATAAATGTGAAAATGTTGAATATGTCAATAGCAGAAATGAACGAAAAAAAAAAATTACAAAATTTTCAATCACATGCTAAATAAGAATGATCCAGTGGTCATTCCGTGTTTTTTGTTTTTATTTTTTTTTTTTTTTTTTTTTGGTTCTAGTTGTAGTATATTGACTATATTTAAGTATACTTGAAACATGACCACAGACCACAGAATTTTATGATTTATATGCAAATTTTTTTGCTTTTGTTTTTGTTTTTTTTTGTTGTTGTTGTTGTTTTTTCATTCTATTTTTTTTCTACCTACCTATCTACTACTATGGTGTGATGGAATTATTCCCCAAAAAATGAATAAATGAGCGAATGAATATACATATTCCGGTAACGTTGCAACGTAGGTATGGGAACAAACAAACACACACACACTATGGCTATAAGTTATAAATGATGATGGCCATTTATCAATTGATGTGTGTATGATATGAAATCACATTGTCACAGATTGTTTCTGTGTGTGTGTGTGTGTATTATGTGTTTTGTTCATTTTTTTAATGCCGACCATAATTCCATCATTTCTAGTGTAGATGTTTTTTCAGAATATTCTGTGTATTAAATACTGCAATAATATGATTGGCTTTATTTTCATTTTACATTTATTCATGTGATTATTATTATTATCATTGTAATGAATAAATGATGGCCATTACAACATTGTTTATCCCCATAGGTACGATGAACTATGAGGAAGAATGAAATGAATGAAAATAATGACCAAAAAAAAAAAATAAAATAACGATCATATATAGTAAACAGAATTGAGTCCAGTTATTTTCAAAGGTAATTTTCAACAATGTCTTTTTTTTTGTCTCGGCAATACACCTGACAAATAACAACAACAACAACAACACTGACTCTTTTAAAAGATTCATTCATTCATTTATTTATTTATTCATCTGTTCATTGAATGCGTTTCATATCAACTTTTTGATGGATAATATATATGATGACCATATTCCATTACCTTCCATTCTAGTGTGTATGTGTGTAGGTGTGTGCTTATGAGTGTATATATAACATGGTAATTGGTCATTCAGTTATTTTTGTTGATAACACAGTGAAAAAAAAGAAGGAAACCATCAAAAGATTGATCATATAATGATTATGATAGTGATCATCATCATCATCATCATGGAATGATAAGAATCCATCAAAAAAAAAAAAAAAATGATAATAAAAGTGAAAGGATTTTTTTTTTCATTTTAGAATGATTTTTTTTTCGTTACTTTCAGTTATTGTTATCATCATTAGGTCATATAGAATTAATCATTAATAAGATTACTTGTGTTTCACCTACTGGTTTTAGATTTTTTTTTGCTTGATGAATGAATGAATGATGAACATTGAGTTGTCGATTTTTATATTCCAGTTATAATAATAATGATGATAATGATTTTCATTTTCATTTTAATTTTTTTTTTCATTCACTATTTTGATTATACCAGAAACCAATTTTCATCGTTTCATCGCGTGTGAATGAAGATGAAAAACGAGAACGAACGAATGAAAAAAAAAATTCAATAAATAATTTTTCCACTTGAATGGCTACAATACGCAACGCAACAACAACAACAACAACAAAACATTTACTCATTTCATAATCATCATCATCATCATTTTTTTTCGTAACATCAACATTACATAAATAGCTCCGAACAACACCTGTGTTACATCATTTTTATAATAATAATCATCATCATCATCACCTTGTGTGAATTGATTTTTACGTTTTCTTTTTTTTTCTATCCGTTTTCTCTCTATTCGTTTGCCAATAATAATAATAATAACGACAACAACGTCGATAATAATAAATCATCAACGATCAACCGATATTCGATACACAAAATTATTGCATCAATTTTTTTTTCTGTTTCCAATACGAAAGAAAAAAAAAATTCTATTTCCAGTTTATGTTATAATAATAATTATTATTGTTTTTGATTGAAACAAGAAGAAAAAAAAATAATAAATTAACATCATCAGTTAATGGCGTCAGTGGCTGCGTGGCTACCGTTTGCCCGTGCCGCTGCAATCGGCTGGGTACCGATAGCCAGTAATCCATTACCAGCACCACCGGTCACTGGCCGTACAAGACGTGATGATGAAGAAAAATTCGTCATTAATGTGTCAGGCCGTCGTTTTGAGACGTGGCGAAAAACTGTTGAAAAATATCCGGATACATTATTAGGCTCAAATGAACGAGAATTTTTCTATGATGAACAAAGGCGTGAATATTTTTTTGATCGTGATCCCGATCTATTCCGTCATATACTCAATTATTATCGAACGGGTAAATTACATTATCCACGACATGAATGTCTGATGAGCTATGATGAGGAGCTAGCATTTTTTGGCATCATTCCGGATGTTATTGGTGATTGTTGTTATGAAGATTATCGAGATCGTAAAAGAGAGAATGCTGAACGTATGATGGATGATCGGATGGAAGAATCCGAAACAATGATGAGAGATGCCACTAAAGGTTCAATACGACAACAAATGTGGCGTGCATTCGAAAATCCACATACATCAACAGCTGCATTAGTATTCTATTATGTGACTGGTTTTTTCATTGCTGTATCGGTCGTTGCAAACGTTGTTGAAACGGTACCATGTACGCATAAAGAAGGCAATCCTGAATCGAAAGTATCGTGTGGTGATACATTTAAAGTAGCGTTCTTCTGTTTGGATACTGCCTGCGTGATGATATTCTCATGCGAATATATGTTACGTTTGTATGCTGCACCGTTACGTTGTAAATTTATGCGAAGCGTCATGAGCGTCATCGATGTTGTTGCCATTATGCCATATTATATTGGTCTATTTATCAAAGATAATGATGATGTTTCTGGCGCATTCGTCACCCTGAGAGTATTTCGTGTTTTTCGTATATTTAAATTTTCACGTCATTCACAAGGATTACGTATCCTTGGCTATACGCTTAAAAGTTGTGCATCAGAATTAGGTTTCTTAGTATTTTCATTGGCGATGGCTATCATCATATTCGCCACCGTGATGTTTTATGCCGAAAAGAATGTGACCAAAACAACATTTACTAGCATTCCAGCTGCATTCTGGTATACTATTGTTACGATGACTACGTTAGGGTAAGTAGAAAAAGATGAAAAGAAAATTATCACTTTTAAATGATATACAAAATTCATGAATATATTCTGCATGCATTTTTTAACCTTTTTTTCTATTCAAATCAAAAATTTTTAAAGTTGAGAAAAAAAAAATTTTTTTTTCATCATACGTTAATAATGATTGACAAAATAAGAGGGCAAACAAGCAAACAAACAAAAAAATTAATAACAAGATTATGGCCTATATTATAATATAAAATTCTTTAAACGAAAAAAAAAGTTATTTGATCATTTGAAATGTTAATCCTTTTTTTTGGCGATAAAATTCATGTGACAGAATTTCATTGGGAATTTCACTCTTCTAATGTTTTTCTTGTTCTTCTTGTTGTTGTTATCGTTGTTTCAACTAGAAGAAAACAAAAACAACAAAATTTTCCATTATTATTCAGCTTATGTGTATGTGTTATATAGATGAATTTTCATTAGTGAAATTTTGAAAAAAATTTCTTTTTTTTCAGTTGATTTCTTTTTTAGTCTATTTACATTAATTTTGGTCTCTTTTTTTTTGGCAATATTGAATCATTCATAATATTAATGGTGGCAAAGTTGTATTATGTTTTTTTTTTTTTTTTTTTGATTCCTGTCATTTTACCATTTAAAGATGTGAACAATTTTAATTTCTCGCTCTCTCTCTCACTCTACCATCACAACATGAATGAATTTATCTTGATTCGAATTTTTAAAACAGACAAAAAAAAGAAATTGAAAAACTTAGATGTCACATATTTTTTCTCATTTCGTTGAAATTCTAAGAAAAATAATTAATTTTCTTCATTAATTTTATCATACTGAATTTCAAAATGTTTGAATTCAATGAATTTTTATCTTTATTTCATTTAATTTCATTTATCTCGGTTTTTGTGCGGTATGTCAAATTTGAGAAATGAAACAAATTTCATTTTTTTTTAAACAATTTATTCTCGATACGACCAAAAAAAATGATATACACATACAGCATACATATGTTGAGAATATTCTGAAAAATTTCTTGAATTTATGTTTGTTGTTATCTACTTGAACAGCATAGCACATATTTATATGTGGTTTATTATTGATTTATTTATATATATTACCAACTGCTGCTGATTCAAGAATATTTATGGATATAAAATTATGTTTTTTTTATGCAATTAATAATCAAAGTTTTCGTTCATCATCATCATCATCAAATTATTATTATTCAGTTTACTGAACATATAAAAATGTTGAAAGTTGAAAAACTATTTCTACACACACGCACACACACACACAAATGGATCATAATCCTTTAGTTATTATTAATTGACCGACCGTAAATATATGTTGTATCGATGTGCTTGTGCGTGCAAGAAGAAAAAAAAATTTTTCGTTTTTGTTTTTGTTTTTGTTTTTTTTTCTGGCTACACTTTCGACACTTTTTTTTCCATTTATTCATTCAATTTATCCATTCTTTTATTCTTGATGATAATGTACAGAATTATGGTGGTCATGATAACCGAGAAAAAAAAGTTTTTTTCTCTTTGTTTTATTTATCAACTAAAAAAAAAACTTTGAATTTGGTTGAACAAACTCAAATGTTTTCCAATTATATCATTTCAAAGTTATTAGTCAACATGAACATCATAATAATATTTGTAGTCGTCCATTTTGATTCAGTATTAAAAGTAGCCAACCATGTAGATATATATATAGAGAGAGAGAGAGAAGAATAAAATAAAAAAAAGTTTTCCACTTTATATTAGTTTTGTGTATAAAACAAAATTTGGACATTGGCCATAATTGACTCACAATAACAACAACAACAACAACAACAACAAATATATATGTAGAAAATGAGAATTTTTTTTTGTTTTCTCTGTCTCTCAATTGTTGTTTATTGAATTGAACATTGTTTCAAGACAAAAACAACCAAAAAAAAAAAAAAAAATTATTGATAGGGTCCAGAATTAATATTATAATGATTGTTGTATTGTTGATGGTCGTCAAACTTGATCACAAGTATTGGTACAAAGAATGTAGGCATTGATTGATAGAAAGAAAATATTCAAAAACATGCGTAGGTGTGTGTGTGTATGGCATACAATTTGTTTAGTTCGAATAATTTTCTTTGCTTTTTCATTTCTTTAGTTTCATTTCTAACATTGATTCAATGTCAAAAAAAAAAAAAAATGAAAATTCGAATCAAAACTTACACATGTGGAAACAAGAGAGAGAAAATCAAGTCAACAAAAAAAAAGTATGTTTATGTCATGTTCGGTGTCAATTCTGAACTCAGACACACACACACACACACCCACACGCACGAACAGCATCTATATCAGCTTGTACATTGTTTTTTTCTTCATTATTTTATTATTATTATTATAAATGTGTACGAATTTGAAAATATCAAAAACATACAACTTTCTTGGAACTCTTTTTTTTTCATTCCACACCATATTTCATACATCACATGCACATTGTTGTTTTAACTAATAGAATCAGAAAATTGAAAAAAGAATCAAAAAAAAAAATTCTTTACGGATCAAAACTTTCTGTTAATTGTTAATAGTGTATGTGTATGATAATTTTTTTTTGCTCTGTTAAAAAGAAGAAAAAAAATTTTCATTTCAAATTGATTGAAATTGAATTGTATTGTTGATTTACTGAATTTATTTATTTATTTTTTTTTGGATTTTAAATTCAAACTTTAATGTTTAAAATCATTTTGTTATCGATGCCCGTTTGATCGATTGTTATTTGAACCGGCAACATTTTCCATCTTGTTTGCTTGTTCGGTTTCAATCGTGAATCAATACTGCAGTTGAATTGGTCTATCTATTTTCTCCAAGAAAAAAAAATCGTTAAAAAATTTTCTTCCACAGATCGATGATCACACACACACACACACATGATAAACACCTTAAAAATGAGAAATGGAATTCCTTTTCTGTCAATATTCCAAGTTTTTTCGAGATGAAATCTGGCGCTAATGCAATTCTTTAGGAACCAAAAAAAAAATAAAACCGGTAAATAGTAATGTGAAAAGTGGAATAGAGTGAAGAAAAAAGAAGAAAAAAACGAAACCGTATGCTGAATTCCATTAAATTTGAATCACAATTCTTCTTTATAGATGGATAGATTTGATCTAATAGAATCAGAAAATTGAAAAAAGAATCAAAAAAAATTCTTTTACGGATCAAAACTTTCTGTTAATTGTTAATGGTGTATGTGCATGATAATTTTTTTGCTCTATTAAAAGAAAAAAAATTTTCATTTCAAATTCATTGAAATTGAATTAATATTGTTGATTTACTGAATTTATTTATTTATTTTTTGGATTTTTAAAACCAAACTTTAATGTTTAAAATCATTTTGTTATCGATGCCCGTTTGATCGATTGTTATTTGAACAAGCAACATTTTCCATCTTTTGTTTGCCCATTCGGTTTCAATCGTGAATCAATACTGCAGTTGAATTGGTCTATCTATTTTCTCCAAGAAAAAAAAATCGTTAAAAAATTTTCTTCCACAGATCGATGATCACACACACACACACACATGATAAACACCTTAAAAATGAGAAATGGAATTCCTTTTCTGTCAATATTCCAAGTTTTTTTTCAGAGGATAAAATCATGCGCTAATGCAATTCTTTAGGAACCAAAAATAAAACCGGTAAATAGTAATGTGAAAAGTGGAATAGAGTGAAGAAAAAAGAAGAAAAAAACGAAACCGTATGCTGAATTCCATTAAATTTGAATCACAATTCTTCTTTATAGATGGATAGATTTGATGATGATCATCAATTGTGATCGATATTTATTTATCTAAATTCTAAACTTCTAAGCTGTCGAATACCATATATATATATATATATATGTGTGTGTATTCAAATAACATTCTTTTCATTCACTCACTGTGAATCTATTTTTTTCAATTTAATATCTTTGTGATGATGAGATGGAAAGAAAGAAAAATTTTCAAGTGAATTTGTGTGAAATATAAAACCTGTGTGTGTCTGTGTGTGTTTTATGATGCAATAAAAGCAGTTTAAAATCACTACTAAATAAATGGATGAAAAATAATGTTGACGTTGTATTATTGTGAATAAGAATCTCGTTTCAGGTTTGTTTTGTTTTGTATTGTTTTTTCTCTCTTCAATTCCATTCTGGCAAATTGTTACATTGTTGTGAAAATTGGAATAGTAAAAAAAAGACGACAATTGAAAATTGAAAACAAAAAAAAAATAAATAAACTACAACAGTGACGACGAGAAAGGTGTTACAATAAAAAAACAAAAAACAAAAGCAGAAACAATTCAAATCAATTTCATCCGGAATAAAAAAAAAATTTCGAAACAGACACACACATCATCATCATTTATATAAGAGATTTTTCCACTTTTTATTCTTCAGATTGAACGATTTCCATTTCAGGTTATGTTAAGTGAAAATGCTTGAATACGAAAAAAAAATAAATGATTTAAAAGTCACTTGATGGTTATTGTTGTCAATGATGATAATGATGATGATGATGATAGTTTGAAACATGAACATTTTTATTCAGGTAAAAATTCTATGGAAAAAAAACAAAACAAGCATAAAACAACTATTCCATTCAACATTTAAATGGCTTATTATGGCTGTTTTTATTGATGATGTTCCATAAAAAAAAGAAACGAAAAGAAATGATAATTCTCGTTACGTTTCATTTCATTTCACACTCACTCACACACACACACACACATACACAGAACATCAATTCTATACGAACCAATTATCCATGGATCAGTATATTTTTTTTCATATATATTCCAATCACTCTATGAAGAATCTAGAATTCGTATTAGATTCTAGGTTCAGTTTTCGCAACGGTGTTGAATATATTTTTCTTTTTTTCTTCGTATTGATTTAAAAAAATTTTTTTTCCCATCTTTTTTTTTCTATTTGTTCCTGTCGTCTATATATTGCACATGATTTCTTCTATTGAAACATCCTTTTT